TCTTTATATGTAAGTGTATATGTAGTTTAAGTTCTCTTTGTGAATCTTTTTCTAGGCATCTTGCTCCCTCCTGGCATCTCTAAAGGTTTCGTCAATGTTGGAGAGAATCACAACTTTAAAGGTATTATAAAATATGATTTCTGCTCATGAGTCTGTTTTGTTTAGCATTTTTCTTGCCTTTGTTTTTTGATAAACAAACAGTCCTGACAATTTTAAGATCAGATATTATGATTATCTTATGAAAGTTAAAGTACATATTATCATTAGTATGTGAAAATTTGCTATTTATGGAATGCATACCTATGAGTGTGCATATATGACCACATGATTGGGTTCGACGCTATGATTTTGGATTTCATAGGTACCATGGGGGATGGACCTTCAATCCACCATGGACCAATTACTTGAGGAATCTAGTTTTGAGGATCCATATGTAAATTTTGTGGTCATATTCTGATAGTGTGGGTAAGTTGCTATTGATGAATCAATCGATGTCTGAGATTAGTTTTTGATATTGATGTAGTCAGTATACCTGTTTTTAGTGGACTTTACCAATGGAATCTCCATCAGTTTCTGTTCATAATATCTGAGAAAGTAGGGAGTCTTTTGTTGGCTTGATTTTCTTCTCGTAGAATAATACTCAACACCTGAGTTTCAATGCAGCAAGGTACTAATAGTCAGGCAACTAGTTGATGATTTTGGCAGACATTTTTTTTAGGAGATAAAGGCTTCTGTCAGTTAGTCTTTGAATTTTCTTCAACCTTTGTAGGATCATTCCTCTTAAAGAATCAAATTAGATGGATATCTGGTGTAATATCAAATTGGCTCCTCTCGACAGTATTAAGTTTGTCTAGTACCATGAAGCAAGGTTTTCGGTTTACTGACATGCCCTTGTACCATTGACTTGCTGATGTACAGCCGGTTAGTGGTTTTGTGCATGTTTCCATCATGTGCCGACTTGCATATTGAATCCTTGCCTTCAAGAAGTCTATGATTCTATTATTTTTGTCGGATAGTTTGTGTATCATATTTGTTTAATATTTTTATCAACTTTCAGGCACAATCAAACATCGTCTCAAGGGAAATTCACTCCATCAGCTTCGATCCATCTTGCTATCATCAGTTAGCATTTCATCTGGATGATGGCTGGTAGGTTATGTTGGTCATTAGTCTAATTAAGCTATTTAATGAACAACATAGAATTTTTTAAGTTCATAGTTCTAAATTTTTGCAATTTTTCACTTATAATAGTATCAAAGAATAAAACCTTTGCATGCTCCAGTTCCAGTGATCTACACATGATTACCTTATATCATCAAATCCTTGTGTTTTTTCCTGAATAGCAAACTATTTCATCAATATTTGTTAGGTTCCTGATACTTGTTATGATGTGAATGCATGTGAGGTTGAACATGGTTTGTGGCAGGTCTGGAGTCTTGAATGTCAGCAGCTTCAATGTGACACATGTGCATTGTCCACCGCCTGCTTGGTTGTAAGTTGAGACACTTGCATACATACCGAATGTTTTTAGGAGGTTTTGTTTTGCCATGTTCTTTGCCAGCTTCTGTATTTTCTTCTGATGTTTCTGTTATGCAATTAGGGATGGCATGGACATATCGACAAGTTCAATCATGCGAAGACCCTCTTGGCTTCCGACGTGCTCGGTATGCCTTCCCTGTTATCATTTGACAAAACATTTAGTTTCGTCCTCCATACATATATGTGCATGCTCATACATACAACACAGATCAATTGTTCATCCATACACCCACCATGCTTATATGTATTCAGGAAGAGATTGAGCACTGGACAATCTATATGATTATGTGTACATGATATTTTATTCTGAAGCATTAATATATATCGTCCAGTATGAATGGCTCAGATTTTTGACAATGCAAGAGCTTGATCGAAAGCTTGTTCCTAAAATAAAAAAAAATAAAACTGTTCCTTTGGATAGCCTAGCTTTTAATCCATTCGATATTACCTTGATATAGTCAAAAGTCAGACTAATGTTTATATCATGCTTTAATAACTGAGATATTCTGTCTTCAGATATATGCAGTTGGATCTTCTTCTGGTAATGGGTTGCATCTTCTGGACTTCTATCCAGGCACAAGCTCAGCATGTCATGTAGACTTCATGTGAGTTCTATTATATCTTTCTTATTATTTTTGTCCCAAAAATATAGACTGGCTCTGGAACTCAATGTAGAATTCTTTGCTTGCAAAAAGGTTGTCATATACCTTATTGAGATGATAGATCAGAGATCAAGCTCAGTTCTTGTTCCCACATGCATTTTCAATTTATATGATTTTAACATCAATTTTGCTTCAATGTTTTTTACATATATATTTCTTAAATTTATTTGGCAGCGAGGAATCACAGAACACTTATAAGGAATGTCGTGGAGCAGTCAAAAACCAGTATGTTCCTGTGTCACAGAACATACTAGTCTGTGCTGTCCATCCCCTCAATGAAACAATAATTGCAGGGACTAAGGTTCGTTTCCATGACATGAAAAGTAGTTAATGAAAGAAGTAACGTAGATGAAACTTCTTGTTGCCGACAAGATTTTTAACTTGCTTGCTGAAATTAAGTCAGTTACAGTTTTTCACTAGCATCAGCAGTAAAAATGTAATGCTTCATTTACATCATTAACAAAATGCATTCTCTACTTCAGCATCATTTGCATGCAGACCTTTGTTGTGTAATTTTGCTATTTACACTTATGGCCACAATGAACTGAGTAGAATGCACTCTTCATGATGGAATGAATGTTTTGATTTCAGGAATCTTCTTTGCTGGTGGTCTCTCCAAGGCTTCAGGAGCTCCAGAGCACAAACTCTACTACCTGATGGCCATAAACATGCCAGCATCATCATCAGTGACTAGTGAGAACATGTACATGAAGCCCATGAGTTATCAATAGCCACCGATCTTGGTTTATAAACACACATCTGCATATCTCTGTTCACTTCCGATGTGAAACACCGGGTGAAAAGTGGCTGACCAGCAGAGAAAGCCAAGGAAAACTGAAGTGAGCAGCAGCTATTTTTGTGCCTCAAATAACCACTCATTTATGCTACAAGAACAATGTCTGCCGGGAACTTTTGGGAAGCAGATACAGGTCAGCAAGATACCCTTCTCGACTGTCAATCCGATCTATTTATTTGATGCTCCAATGGTTGTTATATCAAGCTTGTTCATTAAAAGAAACTGTTGTTTGGGTTACCATTTTAAGATGGGGGTTTTGATTTCATTTATATCCTTGAATTCGCTTGATGATATGTAGCCCCAACCTATGAAATTGCTATTTTTGTTGAAAAGTCCTCACTAATTTGTTTTTATCAGTTGACTTGCCTCCATTGAGAAATTATCAGGCACATTTCTTTTTATAACTTCAACTTTGCTCTTCTAATTCAAATATTTTTTTTTTTCAATACATTTGAATTGATTTGGATTTAGTCAAAATTCTTGAAAACTAATGTTACTTCCTTTTTCTCTATCTTTTTTTTTTAATTGATAAGTGATGAAGGCGGGATTCGAGATTAGGGTCTTGTGATAAATTATCAAAATCTTTATTAATTAAGTTGTATGAATACGACGTTGTAGCCGAGTACGATGCCTAGTACCTTATGACTATGTAATCTTCTTCCTTTGACGATGCCACCATGCAGTTCGTTATAATCCTCTGGGCATGTTAAGTACTTGCACATGTACGCCAGAGCGATGATCCATCATGATGGAGTTCCAAGTATTCCCTTATATCAAGCAATAAAGATCCGATCTTTGGTGGCCTATAAGTCCTCCAACTTTGGATCCAAGCAGGTTGATGTATCAAGATTCACTAGGTAGAGAAGAATGAAGAACGTTGGCCCCCCCTTATGTCGCCATCATCATCATGAGCAAGATCTCATTAGGAATTCCCAGTCAATGACACAGGAGATGTTGGACTAACAAGATCGAGGGCATAATTGCCCATTCACATAATAGAAGAGCATCACAAGTAAAAATAAAAGGAGATTTTAATTCACGACTTCTTACAATTTATAATCTCATTTTAAGAATTTTTTATATTCCTAAAATAATTCTCTGTAAATAAAATTTTGATATTCTTAAAATGACTTGTGATTTGAGCGAGCATGAGCATCATCTCTAACTACACTTATGGTGAGTGTCAAGAGGGTGTCGGTGCAAGCGATATTAATGGACACCGTCGATTATATCTGCGGCAAGCAAGCATCGAGAGAGTTTCGACAGGTAATGATCTGAGTGAGTATGGGCATGAGCATTACCTCTAACTACACCTTAACTACACCTATGATGAGCATCAAGGGGGTGTCGATGTGAGTGATGTCATTTGACGTCATCGACTCAGCTAGTGGATGCCATCGATAGCAAGGAGATGAAATAAAGTGTTGGTGGAATAATAAAAAAAAAAAGACCGATAATAATGAGGTTATAAATAATAAAATAAGTATTTTATTATTTTTAAAAGAATTATCAATAGTAAGAAGGTTACTCCTAATAAGAACAGGATTGTGAAAAGCAAGCTTCAAAATAAATTAATGTGGATATATATATATTTATTTATTTATTATCCTTGACTTTTTCTTTTCTTTGGGGAGAAGTCCAAATTTGTTTTGGCAGAGAAAAGGAAAAAAGCACAATTCCAATGATCGTAAACAACAAAGCACTGAGCATCCTACAAGAAAGCACAGCAGAGAGTAGATTGTTCAGTGCAAAACAATTCCCAGCCTAAAAAGCAAGCTGGGCGAATAAGTGATCAATGCCCAACATCCGTATGTTCCTTGATTGTCCTGTACATGGAAACATCCTTAATTTGGTTGCATTCTTGCCGCTGTCCACTCTCCAGTGGCTACCTCATTCTTCATGATGAAGTCTCAGATCTCTTCACACCATCAGCTAGATTGGCCCTTTTTTAGTGTACTAAGAACAGAGTAATTCATGCTGTCATAGCCTTCTCAAACTCACTCTTGATTGGGACATCAGAGACCTTTCCATGTTAGTTGGATAAAAATATACAGCTTTTTCTCACGCCTATACTTCAAAAGAAAGATAAAAGCAAGCAGTATGGAGATGAAAATTACACCTTCAGTTACTCCAGAGCGCGCAAATGTGTCGCTACAAACAGAAGAAAAGAAACTCCACCGAACAAATGATCATGCCACAGAACTATGCCTGCAAAGAACCCTGCACCGCAGCACCCTATCCTTCACATAGAATCCCGGCATGACCATGATCTTGACTCGAGCAGGAGCTTGCGCTCTGTGTCTGTCTAAGGGGATATCCTCCATGTAGATGGGGTCATAATCTCGATTTTCCTCGACTCGCAAGATCATCAAGGGTGGGCTGAAGGAAAAGGCCAGCAAATGGAGCAACCAAATGCACTTGGCAGCGATGAAGAAGCACTGGAGGAGCTGTTCAGGCCATGGCCTCGACCAGTTTAGTAAGGAAACAAGGCAGCTCATTTTTTGATCACAAAACCGGCTGAAATCTTCGCTATAGTACTTGGTTCCCTTCTGCAACACCTCGTTCCAGCTCAGATTCCGGAGCGCAACAAATGACGAGAAGTTCTCTCGGCACTCTTGCCGGGGATCTAGAAACTTTGGAGAGCCATTCTTATGGAATGCACAGTTCTCAAAGTCCTGATATAAAGATTGGTTTATGAGGGCTTCTAAATGATAGATTACTCCTTTTGAGTACTTGCTACTTAATGTCATCTGATGTGGTTGGAGAAGCAAATTTAGTTTCTCTGACAGATCGTCGCTGGTTTCTTCTGTCTGCTGGATGATCATCTTGCAAAACTGCTTGATGGAGAGCCTGGCTTCTGATACTATCTGCAAGAAACCCTCCACCATTACCTCTTGGCTGACCGGCATCGAGTTGTCTTTGTTGCCACCGATGGACTTCATTCTTTTGGACAGATTAGACCTCTCCAGACTCTGGGAACTCTTTGTATGTGTAGCCTGCTTTAAGGCCGTTTTCAGCTCTTCACAATATGCTTCCAGACTGACTAGCTTCTGTTGCAGCTCTCCCAACGACAACCTCATCTCTGAAACTTTCGCCAGGGCAGCATCCCTGTTCTCATTGGCCTCGAGGAGCTCCTTCTTCAGTGACTCGAGCGAGAGAACCCCCCATTCCTTAAGAAGTTGGGACATGTCCTCCGATTCCATCGTCTTTGGTGACATTTCTGGCTTGGGCTTCTTTTTTGATTTTGGAAATAACCATGAAAGGACTGGCCCTCTGTGTTTTGTGTGCATCTTTACAGATTGATCCGGATTGTATGGTGCCACTGTGCTTTTAACATTCTTGAGATTCTTCTGGTCACCATCCACTTCCATGTTAACAGTTTCCCGCTTGCGTGCCTCATTTGTAATGCCCGTTCTACATTCTCCTGAGCCTGTTCTTCTACTTGAGGACTTGAGGATATCGGCTCCTAGGGTGGCTTGCGACATGGGCATGCGGTTAGTGCATGAGGTTCTGTTGGATAAGTGCTCGATTACAGATGAAATGTTTGGTTCACTGTTTGACGTGGAAAGTTTATTCACACTTTTGCTATCAAAGACAACTGTTTCAGTATCTGTTCCTTCTCCATCCAGACCAATTGCACTCCAAGTTTGTGACAAGCTTCTGTTCTCTGCACGAAGATAGTGGTATCCAGGCAACGGGTCCTCTTCATAACTCTGTTGAAATTCTCAAAAAAAAAAAAAGTTGACTTTACAAACCAAAGTATGAAACTGACTAAATAAAATATCATTTAACAAAATTCTACATGCATGGTTCCAGTGACAATACCAAATTTATCTAACAATTAGTATATACCCAATAACTAGGCAACATGTGCTGAAAATAGATCAGAAAGTTACTGGAAGTAAATGTTTCACAATTTTACTCTAGCAGAAAATCTCATAAATAAGAAAAAAAGAAACTTAACTAATATCTTTTCTACACCTTGGCATTCATTCTATTCTAGTATATATTTACAACAGAGAATCAAGATAAAAGATAATGAATACCAGCATTTCCAGTGTTTGGGTGGATACTGGGGGAAGCTTAGACGTCATGTTGCTTGATTTAGTCAGTCCAACTCAAAAGGCAACCTTATCAAGAAGGCAGTAAAATGGATGGACAAGAGAGTTAAATAGGTTGAGATGGACGAGTGCATGTATGTGGTCATCATGGAATTTAATAGGCAGAGGTCCTCAAGATTCACAATCATGTCACAATAAACTTTACCTTCTACAGCAGTTCAAATTAGTGGATGTGAGCGACTGGTAGAATACTCTTAGTTCTGAACTTTCAAGTACCCAAGAAATTTGTATGACAAAAGGAACAGCCAAGTTGGCAATGCATTGAATTACTTAGTTTCTCTTGGGGTGGTAGAGGAGACAGTATTAGTTTACTATAACACCAAAGACAAATAATCAGAGTTTAATAAACAATATTTTCAAATGTTCAAGTTAAGTCAAATGGTCATATATTTTGATGATCTAGGAATCAAAGAGCTACCATGCTTAAGAGAAATTCCAATGCTCTCAAGATCTTTCTAAAGTGCTTAAAAGAAGAGAAACTGGGTAGAGTAGCCCAACTTTCATGAATGTATTTTGGGAAACGGATGATGTTCAGTAACTTGGAGCTGAGAAGGTTAGTAAAGTTCATAGGCACTGAAATATGCCAATTTCCGAGGAGACCAGGGGAAAAGGATGAAAATTGAGAGTGAAAATGCATAAAAGGCTAATAAAACCACCAATGAAATTCTGGATATTAGAATTTTGAGTTATCCTATTCAAACAAGGGATTCAGTTTGATTACTGCAATAGGGTCCTAAATCTACCATAAAAGAATAGCAAAATAACAACGCAAGGCATTGAGGTTATACCTTCAAAAGAGTGAAAATAGTAGTGGTATTTCTTCTCACACTTCCGAAAAATTTGTGAAGCGCGTATAGAACCATGGAAACATATGTCCTTCCTCTTGGATCGACATGGGTCTTTAATTGCTCATTTTGGCACATGAATGAGAAACATTAAAGAGAGGGAGGTTCAATCTAGGAGAATAGTTGGCCAGCTATCTTTTGGTTTTTCAATTACAGTTCTCCTTTTAGTAGATGAGACATAATCATATTGCCAGCTTGTTGAGCCATGCAGACCACATGGTCACCTTTCTTCACTCTTGCTTTACTTTTGTTGCAGTGAACTTTTTTCCACAGACGGAAAGTGATGAAGGCTGATGGACTTGAACCGAAGACTTTACAACAATCTGACAATCAGCTAAGCTAGTCAACACCTTATTAAAATTCATAGAACAAGGTTTTCAATCTAAACTTGAGATAACTGAGACGGATTACCATGATGTTTTACATATAACATTTGTATGTCGAGGCTTCAAACTTAGATTAAACTTAAATGAGACAGATACACTATCACAACACCAAAGTGAGTCGGATGCACCATCACTACATCACTATTTTAGGTGTTAAAAATCAAATCTATCGGGATGAGGTTTTGAACCCTTAGCCTAAAGTAACTAAATTTTTCGGTGAAGGCTTAATTTTTCGGTGAAGGCTTAGGTTTCAAACTCTCAACCTAATGTAAGCTAATTTTGTTTCCAACTTTGCGGCCATACACCAAAAGCTTCTAAAATTTGTCTAGCCAACGCTGAAGGCACTATGGCACTATTAAGCTGCTTCAGTTATACATCATCACATAAAAAAGGCTCCAAATAAAGAAATCAAGATATCCTATCACCTATAACTCGCAAAATTCGGACAGAAAGACAATATAATGATCGTAAAAACTGATCAAACCTGATTGGGACAACACTAAAAAACATACTGAAACCCTAGAATCTAGCAGAACACTGAGTGCTTGAAATCCCAAGAGTGAGCAAAACACTCCATGAGATCAAGAAAACTTAGCTAGAAGGATCAGTAGCAGCTCAACATCATATATCCCCTTCAACAAAGAAAGACATCAGCAAGAATCTGTCCGAGAGATGCCATGATGTGTCCCCAGTCGATCAGACAGAAGAAAGGATACTTAAGGAGAGGTATTATATGAAGATCCCCACCAAGATGCCACCTTTCGCATTGGAGAGCAATAGACTCGACAGAAAATCCAACACTTCACAAGGAAGGGGCGCAAAAGCTGAGTCAAAAGAGCAGCAAGAACTCACCGGCGTGAAGACAGGATAATCTTCAGGTACCGCGAGCTGATTGGCGCCGCGGGAAAAGGAAGGGGAAGCGCCGGCGGGCAACCTCACCACCGCGGGACTGCCGCCGGTACCCCCGTGGAGCAGCGCCGCGTGGAGCGCCCTCAGCTCTGCCGCCTTCACAATGGCCGCCTGGATGTCCTGCCTGTGGATCCCATCGGCACCACCACCAGCACTAGACGATTCCATGGAGCTCAAGATCTCTCAGGGCATGGGTAGGGTGGAGCTCAACAGAAGCAAGGGTTGAAGCTAGTAACAGAAGCCGCGGTGAGGTGATCATGTCCAAAGACAATTCCTTGGGAGGAAGGGAAGAACAAGACAGAGAGGGGGGAAAAGGCAAATCCAAGAGTAGGGTAAAAAAGCATACAAACATCCAAGAAATGGGTTGAGGCCGGCTTTATATAGGAGCAGTATGGAAGAAGAAAGGTGTCTCCTTGCTTTTCTTTAGTGCTCAGTGGAATGAACGACCACTGAGGACAGCATGCCCACTCGCCATAAAAAAGAGCTCTGATGACATCTTACAGCCATTGACCTTTATTGTTCCCGAAGCCTTTTCCTTTCTTCCCTGACCCAGATTTTGAGGTTGAAGATGAACGGAACACAAACTTCATCGACCTTACAGTCACATCACATCAACTCCCTCGATGCAAGGTTTGGTGGTTTTGATGGCCAAGAAATTTTTGTTCTGATTTTTCAAGCTCACAGAAGTGACAAAGACCAGATTTAGATTTAGTTGACATGTTCTTATGGACAACTACAGCTAAATTTAGACACTTTGGTCCATCATTAGAAGATGTGTCAGTCATTAACAACAATTCCTCCACAGTCCTTCTCTAACTTATTAGAAGGTACAGAGAAGAAGGAAAGATATTTGGTGTCTTCAAGACAAGAAGTGGCTGATAGATGTTCTCTTGTTAGTTAATCTAACTGTATGGGCGGTTGCATTAAGTACACACTTGGAGAAGAAAATGAAGACAGTGAGTATCAATGCATTTGGAGGAGATGATAGATTAGGACAAATAATGCAAGCAGTGGGCTACAACATCATTAGTAGATGCTCCATTCTTCTCTTAAATCTTTCTTGGATTTGTATGAAGATATGCGGCTTTAATTCTGTGTTGCAGAGGGTAAAGATATCATTGTCAGCCAGCCAAGCTTGGTCCCTAAATTAAGATTTGCCCTCTGCATATTCTCCAGCTCAGTATAGTATGACAAATTAAGGCCAATTTTGTCACCTAATGCTCATAATTCACCCATCTGCTTTCTCTCTTCTCTCTCTTGCTTGTTTGAGGAAATATGCACTCATCAGAGTTGTTGGTAAAATATGTGGGACATGTTTTCTTTTTGGTCTCCATAGAAGTAGCAGATACTTCCCAGCAAGAAAAGCCAAGATCCTAAAACTAGCTGCAAGAAAGAACAGAGTAGCTCTCCTTGGATGTACTATCGGTATTTTTTGCGTGAACCAACACATAGATGCCTGTGGTTGCAGGCACCACATCCGTGGAAGACGGTGGTAAAACATTGATGTGCTTATAGAAGAAAACAAGATCTTGAGGTGTGTCTTCTTTAAAGTCCTCGAATCTGAACATGTCATGTATCAACTCAGGAATCTAGAGAGGCTATCATCATAGCAGAAGCATACCTATCTATTCTCTAGATTTTGTTCGAAGAGAGTGTAGCAACATGGCTTATTGAACAAAGAGAGTAACTTTACATATGACATGATTATTTCATGTCATGATGGAAGAATCTTACAACCAAACCAAAGATTATGTGGTATTTAGGGTGTGTTGAAACGCCAAACACATCATTTGCTTCTTGTCAGAATGCCTTACGCATGCTTCAGAAGCAGCAGTCACGCTTGCAGCTGCAGGCCTCTCTCGAGAGCTGCAATGAATTCTTTTGCTTCATGCTTTCTCTTGACATGAACAAAAAGAAAGACCCTATGCAAACACATCAGAGAAATTGTAGGCTGGTTAAGAAAGAGAAAAACAATGATTTGAGAAGCAGATTATATGGAATTAATTTTCTTTTCATGCTTACTAGTATTTGACATGTTCTCACTATCAAAATCTCAAAGCTATCAGAGTGTTGTCTGAGCTACTTTTACCTCATGCTTCTGGTGCATGGTAGGGGCCATTGGCACAGAGAATTATTAAGACCACTGAAAGCACATCCCAAAGGCAAAAGGACAGAGAGGCTGAAGAAGAAGGGGAAGGAAGGAGAAATGGATCCAATAGCTCCCCAACAAAGCTTTTGCACTGGTCCCCTTGTCACATTGCCCAGAGAGCACTTTTACTGTTCCAAGATTGGTATATCTATTAAAGGAGAATTGAGAAGTATAGTGAGCATTTATAATACTTACTTGGTGGTTGCTGTATTGCCCTGTTGACATGAGATGTGAAGGGTGTGAAGAGCTGGAGAAGAGTGCAGTGGAGGAGTTTGATGCTTCCAACCCACTTCCATTTTTCTTGGTTGAGGTTTCTTGTGGCTCCAACCAATCAAAAAGGGCAGTGAGATGCCAACTTATGCAGAATCCAGAGTCTCTAATTAGTTCCCTTCCATCTTTTGAAGATAACTAGCATCTGCTCTCCTCATGCTTCATCTTTGCATTTCCATGAATAAATGATGGATATACAAACATGAAGATTAGGTACCATCAGAACACATGCAAGTTTGGTTGAGAGTGCATTGACTTCTACTGAGACATCTGTATTCCACCTAGCCAGCCAACTAATCATCATTGTCTCCCCTACTTAGAATGTATTGCAAGCCATAAGGGTTTGGGTAAAGATCAGTTTTCTAAGGCTTGTCATCTTGATAAAGTATAATATGATTCATAGGTCCTCCAGCATTCTCAACCTGCATTCTTATCAGGCATATCTTCATCCTTTCACTGAGTGGAAATTTATGGATCAGATAACAGGTATAGACCATAAAAAATTCCTACAGTCAAAATGTGTTCTCAGGCACTATTTTGATACTGAGGAACAGATGAAGTTCTGCTCTCCCCCATCCCCTGTTTCTTCAGAAACAAAGGATCAAAGTCAAAAGCTCTTCTCTCCCACATTTTGGAGCAGAAGAGATGTTAGAGAGAAATGACAAGAGGTGTTGGTGACCATCCAAACGGACAGCTGTTCGTTTGGCATGAGGTAGATGAGTTTGAGACTTCACTCACCAAACTCCACCCTGTTCTTGCTCTACACAGGTGATGAGGTTCCTTGTCAGTAGCCCTTGTTTTGAGTCCTTGGAGCACTTCTCTGGTCACAACCCAATGGGGACCTTTCTAGCTCTGTATAAGCTCAGTTTATTACCAACAGCAGGATATCTAATCCCCACCACAGCAGAAACAAATGGGCGTCTCACAAGGTGCCAAGCACTAGCCAAACAAGGTCAACATGTTGCAGAGAACCCCAGACATCTCTCCTCTAACAAGGTCATTCTTTTCTGATCTCCCTTTGCACTGAGGCACTGGTACCTTGTTCAGAGATCCATGCCAAATTGAAATCAAAAGCTTCCTCCCCTTACACCAAGAACAGAAGAAAGAGCATCATTTAAAAGATTGCAATGAATGCCTTAGAATTAACAATAAAAGAGAGAGAGAGAGAGAGAAAAGAATGCATATATATATTATATATATATATATATATATATATAT